ATTGATAGATGTGTTATCTTGTGAAGTAAAACATCATGTGTTATTTAATATCATCTCGAATGTAACACTCTTCTTCAGGTGCTTCCGGCAGAATTTGTAACAAAGGAACAAATTCATTTGATATCATACATGTATTTCTACGTCCAAATATGTGTACTAAAGAATGATATTTTCTGGGGAAGTTTTGGTAACTTCAAAGATTTTTCATTCGACAAATGACATCCAACTTTTAGGACAAATGACATGGAAAGATAAATGTGCGTCCTATCAATTATAGGGTAAGTAAAAGCAATTCTTATCCAATTGGCTATAAATCTATGATCGGGCATACATAAGAAAGCGCAGGATATCTAGCTTATGTTGAAGAATCTGCACAAAGCTTCCACATCCGTATCCAAATGTGCTTATCACTGCTCAAAGAAAGAAAGCATGTAACATGGAGGAAAATGGTAGCAATGTACTATTAAAGGATATGTCTTATTATATTTGAGTTCATCTCAACATATAGCACAGAGATGCGGACCTATGCTATAGGTAGAGAAGTCACCGGCACAGGTAAAGTTCGACAAAAATTCTATGTATATATATGTAATTAAAAATGTATGTCATTAGAAAATAGTGATATATTAGTAGCCGACACTCTATATACTAAGCAAATTTTGGTTGAATAAAAAAGTAAATTCTATAATACTTCGACAAGCAATCTGTAATAGGAACTTAGCGAAACAATTAAAGTTCTATTTACATGAAATTGGACGGAAATGCACAACATCTCAATTGAAGTATATGTTGCATTACCCACGAAGTTCAATACACTAAGTTGGTTAAAAAAACACTCAAATTTCAAACCACAATCAGATAGTAACATCCAAGTCTAGAATATAACAAAACGCACTTCTTCTCATAACACCAAAAAGAAACAACACAAAGCCATCTAAACAAATAAAGCTACAGACCCATTATCAATACCCACCACGTCTACCACCAGCGCCACCAAATCCACCACGTCCACCGAACCCAACAGGCGCAGCTATAGCCACGGGCTGTTCTTCCTTAAGCACAACACCAGGTAGTTCACTCATACCCAAAGAAGCAAGCAAGTCAATAGTTTCCTTATCAACTTCAATTCTATCAGTTTGAATAGCAGATTCATCAGGTACAAAGTCCATACGACGTTCTCTTTCTTCTTCTTGTAACTTGAGAGAAATTCCTCTTACTGGACCCTTTTGGATCCGCTTCATTAAATGAGTGGAGAATCCAGCAATTTTGTTGCGGAGACGCTTTGATGGGATGATGGCTACTTCTTCGAGAATCTTCTTATTTGTGTGGAAATCTAAGGTCATTTTTGAGTAGTAACGTTCGATGACTTGGCGTGAAGATTTCTTCACTGTCTTCGTACGAACACGCCCCATGGCTGATTTCTGGTGCGGTGAAGTTGGGGGTTTGGGGAGGGGGTAAAGAGGGGCTAGAGTGTAATACGCAGGAAGAGGAGAAACTAGGGTTAAAGATTGTAGTAGGGCTTAAATATATACAGTAGATCAATTTTTGGGAAGCTACTAAATTACGAAGATGGTGTTGGCCACGTTTTGTGCATTTTTGGGCTTTGAGGAGCATTTGCTCAAATGGCATCTTTTTAGAGGTCACTATTTAAATCCTGTCCCATGAACTAAATTTGTCTGCCCAAATTTGTTTTTGGTTATTTTTAATTCAATGAACTGATGTTTACAGAATTTAAAGAGTGATCTCAAAGGATGCCATATGGTACAAATAATCTATTTCTGAGCATAATTTTTGTATAGGGTAAAATCGGTAAATATTAAATACTCGTATAATAGCACGATACATGGAATCGGAGACAAACAGAAAGCGATATAGGTGAAAACCAAGACGGGGGGCAGCAGCTTCGGATGGCACCGGGAAACCCCCGAAAGGAATATTGCCAATAAAGACAAACGAATGCCTGCTATCTGATAGCATTCAATGAGGAATATTCTGCAGTATTAAATACACAGTCCGTTATAGAGAATTTTGGCATTCATAGCCTGCTGTTACACATTCTTTAATGACCCCAATAATTGTCATTTAAGATGGACTTGATCCCAGGACCTTATTCCCAAGGTGCAACTATAAATAGCGATTTCAACAACCATTGTAAGGACAGGAAATTTTTGACAAACTTATGTTAAACATTATTCTAAGCTCAATAACACTTTATTTCTCGTCTATTGCTTATTATTACCTTCGGAAGCTCTGCTCCCGAAGCCAAGCTATCTGCTGTCTTATCTCGATTTCAACGCTAAGTCTTGTATTTTTATTTAATTTATTTATCATTTTGGGATCAAATCGATTCGCTTGTCTATAAATCATGTACAAATTCAACTGTATTGCTTTACAAGTAAATAGTGTAGCGCCCACCGTGAGGCTTAGACAGTTGCGTAATTGAATTGATCCTTGCATCAATTACTAACCTGTTTAATTCTTTGTTTCATAGCGAAAAATCGTAAGAAAATGGAAGATAACGATGTCAACATTACACACAACGTTGAGGCACAAGGAAATACGCCTCGACACGAAGATTCGATCGGTGATACCCGCAACGAGGAAGATGTAGCCACGCAGGTCCATAGCGGGCAATATCCACGACATGTTCGAGAGGCAACTCTTGATGATGCTGAAGACGAGCACGTTGTGGAAATGGTGAGAATCCTGAGGGAACAACAAAAGGCTATTATGGGCCATCTTTCGCGACAAGATCAAGTCATGACAGAGTTGAAGCAAGTGTTGTCGGGTGCTTCCAACAACGCGAATGGAAGAGGTCCGATTCCTCTCGGAGCTCCCGCAAACCAAACAACACAAATGGTTGATAACAACACCCCGAGGGGTGAAGTCGGCTTCGACGAGGCCGGGGGGAACGACAGCGGATCTGGTAACAATAATGGGAATGATCCCTTTAAAACGTAACTCATGCGGTTTATGAGGGAAATAAATGCCCGAATAGATCAAATCTCGGGCGCACCGCTAATGTTGAAAGGGCTAGACTCAAAGAAGTACACCTAGTTGCCGTTCAAACCAAGTGCGATACCATAGTTAATCCCGAAGCGGTTCAGAATTCCAGACGTGCCAAAATATGATGGGACTTCGGATCCTCAGGAGCACATTACCACCTACACAATGTCGGTGAAAGAAAACGACTTAGCTCCGCACGAGATTGAGTCAGTCTTGCTGAAGAAGTTCGGGGAGACCCTCACAAAGGGGGACCTGACATGGTATTCGCTTCTATCCGAGCACTCAATAAATTCCTTCGAGATGCTCGCGGATTCTTTTATTAAGGCCCATGTAGGGTCCATGAAGGTATAGGCCCGAAAGGCGGACATATTCAGAATTGCTCAAGGAGAGTCCGAACTGCTGCAAGAGTTTGTGATCATATTTCAGAAGGAAAGGATGTTGCTACCGGTCGTGCCGGATGAATGGGCAGCTGAGGCATTTACTAAAAGGCTGAATCCGAGGAGTTCTGACATTTCCCGGAAATTGAAAGAAAGTCTATTCGAGTTCCAGGCGACAACATGGGCAGGTGTCCACAATCGCTACGAATCAAAAATAAGAATAGAGATGACTAGCTCGGTTTTCCGGCATCAACCAAGGGTCGGGACTGAGAGAAGAATAAAGAAGAGTTGAAGGATGATTTCGACGCAGATCGACGGTCTTCCAGAGGTCAGTTTTTTCCCTATGAAAGGGCTGAAGGACGCGATAGAGGTTTTCGGTCGACAGATAAGTTCGCTACCAATAGGAGAGCGGATCGCGGTCGGAATAACAGATTGTTGCAGGATAAAGAGGTATTGAGCTCTCGGGATTCCACCTACCCCAGATTGTCTGAGTATAACTTCAATGTTCCCGAGGCCGATGAGATCCGACCCCAATTAGAGGGATCCTAATCTATAGTGTGAATATCATGGGACTAAAAGCCACGGGACTAGGGACTGACGACATCTGCGCAAGGAGGTGGAAGCATTGTTGAAAACGACCATCTCAGAGAGTTCTTAAGTGACCAGGCTAAGAATAATTACGACCGCAAATGGGATAACGTAGAACCCTCAAAAGCAGGAGAAGATCCTCTTCGTCTAATGATCAACATGATTTTCGAGGAGAACGAGATTAATGGTTTAACCTTTTCGGCAGCGAAAAAGACAAAGGTATCAGTGACCCATAGCAAGAGACTCCGAAAAATCGTCGAGTATGATATCACCTTCACGGATGAGGACGCAGATGAACTCCTACTACCACACAATGATGCCCTAGTAATTTCTCTTAATGATTTCGATTTTAAAACTAAACGTGTTTTGGTGGACCCAAGACGTTCAGCCAATACTATCCAATAGAGAGTGTTGGAACAAACCAATTTAATCGGAAGCATCATTTCGGCCACAAAGCTCATCACCGGGTTCAACATAGCAAGCGTGGCAACCCGAGGGGAGATTTTGCTGCCCACGAATGCCGAAGGGGTAATGAAGACGACCTTGTTTGAAGTAGTATATGTCGACATGGGCTACAACATTATTCTTGGAAGACCATGGATACACGAGATGAAGGTTATGCCATCAACACACCATCAACTTCTGAAATTCCCAACTCCCGAGGGAATTAAACAAATAAGGCGAGATCAAACGATGGCAAGGGAGATGAACGCAATCTCGGTTTCCAGTAGTAAAGGGAAGGAATATGTGGCATAGCAATTATAGGAGCCGACGCCTGCTCTTGAGCCAAACGAAGTCGACGAGGGGGAGGAGTCGTCAGAATCCTATTAGGTGCCAAGATATTTCCAGGTACCAGAAGAAACGGACGCAACCAAATCCATAGCAGAAGAACTCGAACAAGTTGCATTATTCGAAGAGTTCTTAGAGAGGAAGTTCCACTTGGGGACATGATTAAACCCCGAACTCAGGTTAGGCTTTATAGAATTTCTTAAATTTAATGTTGACTATTTTGCGTAGTCGCATGCGAATATGACAGGTATTCCGCTAGAGGTGGCTGTGCACAAGTTAACCCTGGATTCTAACATCGCTCCGGTAAGGCAAAAGAAACGCCCTATTGACTAGGTCAGAAACAAGTTTGTCAAAGAAGAGGAAACTCGATTGCTTGATATCGGTTCAATCTGGGAGGTAAAGTATCCCGACTGGTTAGCTAACGTAGTAGTAGTTCCGAAAAAGAATAATAAATTTTGCATGTGCGTAGATTATAAAGATCAGAATATGGCATGCCCAAAAGACTCATTCCCATTGCCAAACATTGATCATATGATTGATGCAATGGTCAGGCATGAGTTGATGAGTTTTCTCGATGCCTATTCCGGGTACGACCAAATCAAAATGAACCCGGAGGACCAGGAAAAGACTTCGTTCATTACAAAATTTGGGCACATATTGCTGTAATGTGATACCTTTCGGGCTTAAGAACGTCGAAGCCACTTATCAGAGGCTTGTGAACAAAATGTTTGAAAAGTAAATAGGGAAAACAATGAAAGTCTACATAGATGATATGTTGGTTAAGTCTTTGAATGCAGGTGATCATCTGAAGCACCTCCAAGAAACCTTTGACATCCTAAGAAAGCACAACATGAAGCTTACCCCCAAAAAGTGTGCATTTGGAGTCAACTTCGGTAAGTTCTTGAGGTTCTTGGTGTCACAAAGGGGAATCGAAGTCAATCCTGATAAAATTAAAGCCATCAAGGACATTCCCAATCAGCTATCAAATGTGAAAGATGTTCAGAGATTAACAGAGAGACTGGCCGCTTTAAGCAGGTTCATTTCCCGGTCTTCAGAAAAATGTCATCACTTATGAAAAAGAAGAACAATTTCGAATGGACTCCGGAATGCCAGCAGGCTTTGAAAGATTTGAAAAGGTAGTTATCGAACCCTCCGTTACTATCGAAACCATAGGTAGGCGAACAATTGCTGATTTACTTAGCTGTCTCGGAGGTAGCAGTAAGTGCCATTTTAGTTTGTGAAGGCGAAGGTACGCAATTTCTAATTTATTATGTTAGTAAAATTTTAACGGAAGCGGAAACTCGCTACCCACACCTCCAAAAATTGTCCTATCGTAGTCGCCGCTCGAAAGCTTAGGGCTTATTTTCAATGTCACTCGATAGCTGGGGTGACAACCTTTCCCCTGCGGAATATCCTTCACAAACCTGAATTTTCAAGTCGACTGGCCAAATGGACAGTCGAAATAAGTGAATTTGACATAGAGTATAAACCCGGGACTGCGATCAAGTCACAAGTTTTAGCTGACTTTGTGGCCGATTTCAGTCCCGAACTGCTGCCATTGGCCACAAAGAAGCAGTCATAGTGTCAGAAACGACATCGAGAGTCTGGACCTTGTTCACGGACGGAACTTCCAACGTGAAATGGTCCGGGGACTGGACTCCGAGGTTATTGAAATCAAATACGATTCCCAAGTAGTAGTAAATAGGGGATCTTCAGCACCAAAGAAGAACGCATGCAACAATATGTAGTGAAAGTCCAGACTCTGCTCGCACGGTTCAGGGAATGGTCAATCACCCACATCCCGAGAGAAGAAAACATGGAAGCAGACGCACTGGCCAATCTGGGTTCGTCCAAGGAAATAAAGGAATCAGACTCCGGTACAGTCGTGCAACTTATGCATTCGCTATTGGATGTGGACGGTTATTATGAAGTAAATACGACTAATTTGGTCTGGGACTGGAGAAATGAGATCATCGACTATCTTGAGCATGGAAAACTTCCCGAAGACACAAAGGCATCCCGAGCACTCCAAACCAAAGCAGCTCGTTACTGCTTCAAGAGAGGCCAGTTGTATAGGAAGTCTTTCCAAGGCTCGTTGGCCCGATGTTTAGGAGCCTCAGAGGCTAATTACATCATGAGAGAAGTTCACGAAGGAATACGTGGAAATCACTCTGGTGCGGACTCGTTAATGTTAAAGTTAGTTAGGGCAGGGTACTACTGGCCCCGGATGGAACAAGACGATAAAGCATTTGTTTAGAAATGCAACAAGTATCAAAGCCACGTGCCCATCAACCAGCAGAACTACTGAATTTGGTATTGTCGCCTTGGCCATTTATGAAATAGGGGATGGACATAGTCGGTCCGTTGCCGCCGACTCCTAGTATGGTAAGGTTTTTGTTATTTTAACTGATTACTTTTTTAACTGGATTGAAACAGGTCCTTACCAGAAAATCGGCGAGCGCGAAGTGGTCGATTTGCTGTGGGAGAATATAATTTGCAGGTTCGAAATACCAAAGGGAATAGCCTGCGACAACATGCCGCAATTTATAGGCGCAAAGGTCACCAAATTCCTTGAAGGCTTGAAAATCAAAAGAGTCACATCTTTGCCATACCACCCGAATGCAAAGGGCCAAGCGGAATTGACAAATAAGGTGATCGTCCAAAATCTCAAAAATATATTGGAAGCAGCCAAAGGCAAATGTGCTGAAGAGTTACCGAGAGTGCTATGGGCGTATTGAACGATGGTCAAATCAAGCACGGGAGAGACACCTTTCTCTATTGTATACGGAGCAGAAGCCCTGATACCGATGGAAGTGGTAGAACCTACCATGATATACTTCTGGGCATACGAAGAAGCAAACAACAAAGCGTTTTTGGTTAGATTGGAATTGCTTGACGAACACAAGGACTTGACGCATCTAAGGATGGCGGCCCAGAAACAAAGAATGAAAAGATATTATAATCGAAGAACCAATTTTCGTAATTTCAAAGTGGGAGACTTGTTTTTAAGCAAAGTGTCTCAAAATACCCGAAAGCTCAATGAAGGGAAGTTGGGTGCGACATGGGAAGGCCCCTACTGGGTTAGAGCTTCACTGGGAAAGGATCGTATGAACTGGAAAATCAAGACGGAGTAAAATTGGCGAGCAACTGGAATGTGGTACACCTCAAAAGATACTATTGCTGATGAGCACCACCTATACTGAATGTATGTGCTGCACTCTTTTTCCCTTCGGCTAGTTTTTGTCCTAATTGGGGTTTTCTGGCAAGATTTTAACGATGAAGAAATGGAAAACATACTACGAAGGAAGCATTATCAGCAGAAATAAGACCTTTAAATGACAAGGCATGGAAACATTAAACCACTGCGGGACGATTAGATAATCTTTTGCTCAATAGCAAGGTTCCTAACGGGAAATAAAGCTTGTTATCCAACCAAAGGTTACCTGACCGTTCACGAGTGCCCCTTCACTACAAGCCATTGGGGGGTAATTAGATAATCTTTGGCTCTATAGCAAAGTTCCTAACGGGAAATAAAGCTTGATATCGGACCAAAGATTATGCAACCATTCACTAGTGGAATCATCAAAGGAGTAAGACTTCCACTGTTCCAATTCGAATTCTTCGCATTCAAACACTGGGGGGATGATGTGAGAATACGATAGCCTGATTGCCACACAAACTGGGACTACGAGAAACCAAGAACAAAGATGCATCATCGGGATTGGGGACTGCGCAACCAGCCCCGTAGAAATAAGTTTTACAAATTAGCCACAAGTAATGGCAATTTTCATTTCATCATAACGTATGCTTATGTACTTTTGAAAATGGAAGGAATAAAGTAAAATCTTTTTATTTTTATCTTGTTTCTTGTCCAAACGATGAATTAAATTTATCATTTGAAAGTTAATCAAGTACTTCAAATGCTAGTGCCAGAATGAACATGAGACGTCCTCTTCAAGAGCACCGTAAACATAAGAGGGACCTATCTTATGAAACCCTCACAGTAAAGGGTTGGTTCTGAAAGAATTTATGCTTGAAATCCAAATACTACCGGGGAAAAAAATACACCCGAAGCCTTGCATAACTTGACGCAAAAAGAATAATTTGCGCGATGCTTAAACGAAAAAACACTTTTATATAACAAATGTGCCAAGCAGTACAAGTACAAAAGTATGAAACAAAAAATAAAGGGGAAAGAAAGAAAGAAAGAAACTAAACTATTGCGTCCCTAGAACCTAGGGGAAGAGAAACGTCTGCGCCCCTAGGAGAAGTAGGCGGATCTACTGCCGACTCGAGATATTGACCTTCATCATCATACCCTTCAAGTTCTTCCTCAGTTCCCGAAAAGTTGGAACCGGAACCAAAAGAGTCAATTGCATCAGGTTGAACCGGGAGGCCTTTTCAGGCAGTTGACTCTAGCTCACGGGCCTTGGCGATCTCGGCATCAAAATCAATGACGCCCGCTTTGGCCTCTTCCAAGGTTTTTCTCCTCATGCTATACATAAAATATGTTTTTTCAACAATGAGGGATCCGCTCGGTGCTGAAGCTCTGACTTAAGTTGATCAACCTCGGTCAAAAGGCTATTCCGCTTGGATCTTGAGGCCTGAAGGCTGAGATCAATATCACAGATAGTGGAGTTATAAACTTTATTGTGCTCCATGACCCTCTTATACTTCTCTTCCATCTAGGCATGCTTCTCCTCAGTAGCAACAACTTCTTCAGTCTTGGAGTTCAAGGCTGCCTCTAGATTATTCAACCTCTTAGTAGAGGCAGCATTGCACTCGGCAGCAACAAGAACAACATTTTGGACCTCAGACCATTTTGCCTTGGCCTCTTGAAATTGTAACTTTAACAGGGTGTCTTCTTGGCTGAGGGTCACCACCTCCTGCTCACTCTGCTGTAATCGAGCCTCCAACTCAACGGCTTCGACAACTTGTGCTTCTAGTGTCGGGAGGCGAGCAACAATTTGATCCCACTCGACCAAAACTTGATCCCGCTCGGACGTGAGTTTTTCTTTGTTGAGGATCAACTTCTGAAAGCCCTCGAAAGCAATGAAGTTAGCCTGCAAAGCAAAAACTCAAATTAGAAATCCTGTCAGAACAAGATAAAAAGCAATAAAAAGAACAAAAATCATACCACAACTGCTTTATACATGACATTATTTGCCATACACTCCCCCGAAAGAAAATGTATTTTCTTCTTATCTTTCTCTGAAGCCAGCAGCTTCAGATAATTGGCAAGTTCCACTGCCCGGGACAGTAGATGGCACTCGGTAGAGAGGAAGACGATCCTCCTCCTCTGAGGATCTACAAAGGGGGGCAAACAGTTATACCCCAAATTCCCATGGTTCGAGGATTGGGGAGGGGGGACATCCTCCTCCCGGGTGTCTGCGGCCGGTGGAGATGATGTAGCAATTGCTAATGGTGAAGACATGGCTGAACAAGGAGATGAAGCTGATGACGTTGTACGTTGAGAAGCAGCTGCGGCAAAAGAAGTGTTTATTATTAGTTGCTCATCAACTGAAGACGGAAGAGGCCCAATACCCAGCCTCACAATACCGGGAGCAGCGACTGGGGCTCGAAAGTGAGAATTGACATCCTACACTATATCACACTCTCCTTAAAGCGCTTGGACGTCGTCATCGATCGTTGTTATTAGCTCTTCAGATTGAGCATTCTGTTGAGCTGATAAAGGTTGTCGTCTCCTCTGTAGGGAAGCCCCTTCATCACTGGCTCCCCCATCGTCATCAATTACCACAGTGGCTGCGGCTGGGTCGGGCATGACGTTCTTCATCCTTTTATTTTTACCCTTAGCCGTAGAGGAACATCGCTTTTTTGTTGCTTGTTCTCCAGCTGGGGACTCCGAAAGGAATCACCTAAACCGGGAGCAGGTCCAATGGCGCCCCTTCAGGTGAAAGCCTCCTGTAGCAACCTCGTTGCATCTACGGGATCAGCCAAAACGTCCTCATCGGGGACGGTAACAGAGCCTCGCGGAAGACCTAAATTCAATGGAAAAAGGTGTTAGCCAATTTTCTTATACGTGAGGTAAAAACAAGATTAGTTCGAGAATCAACTTACTATGATTTTTGGACTTCCACCCGTATTTGAGGGCCATTTCTTTCCATAGGCGGGTCTCAGGCATGGTAATGTGCAAAATCTTCTGGACCCTTGGTAGTGTCCACCGAGATGATGAAATAATGAAAATAGAAGGATCAGTAACAACATGAGACAACATTTAATCAGAGGAAAGACAGACGTTGAACTTACGTGTATGAGTCCATAACTTAGGGAAGGATGGAGTTGTGGCCGGGATGATATCCCTGGTGGCAAATATAACGAACCGCTCCATCCATCCATGGTCGTTGTCTTTATCCATACTGGTGAGCAAAGCATAGTGACCACTATTGATACCCAATTTTTTCTCTTATATTTTAAACACGTATATATACTTTCAAAATAGTACATATGCAGTTATAAACATGCATAAGTATTTTTATAATTTTTCTCTATAGTTATAAAAACTCCAAATCAATTTATTTCTTCTCTTTTTATTATATAAATGTCCCATAATTATCCTTCAAATTACTTTTGTGATGATTTCACAATTAAATTTCATTATTTATGCCAACATAATGCTTAAATATTTTAGTGTATCTTTTGTAATTATATTTATATTTTAAAGCTAAATTGCACATCTTTGCAATAATAGCCCTTACTAATGTATAATTACATTATTTATGCATAAAATGGTCTTTTATATTTTTTAAACATTAAATAACTATTTTAAATCATTTTTGTACACAAAGGTATTTTTGGTACTCATTTATTATTTTTTATAAATTATTTAGTTATTAAAAGTGGCTATTTAAAATCTGGCCTTATTTTATTTCACTTTTGACCTTACTTTTGACCCATTACCCAGCCCAATCTCAACCTAAGCCTACCCAGCCCAAGACTAAATGCCCGACCCATCCCCAATCTCATTTAATCTCGGCCGTTGATCATAGAGATCAACGGCCACAATTGCCCCCTTCCTTTTTAGTCCCAAACGACCCCCCAAACCCTCTCATTTTCTCACCAACCGTTGCCCTGAAATCCCTTTCCTCTCAAAAGGTCTCAAACTCTAGCCCTAATTTACCCACATCGCCGGTTATCCGCTGCCTTTCATGGTGTTTCCCCACCACCATCAGGCCTCTAATGGCCTCCCTCACGCTGGTATTGCCATCTCTGAGGTCCTCGATGGACCAGGGTAAGTCCACTTGCATCTCTGGCCCTTTCTCGCCTGTTTCAGGCTGTTCCGATTTGGTTCCGAGTAAGATCTCCCTATATCGTCATGAATCTAGGGGTTTCTAAGCGTGCTTCTTCATCTATGTGATTCGAAACCCTAATTTCTTCATTCTGAACTTCTTAGATCTCTACAGATCTGAGATGGTTTGGACCTATTTAATATGAGTTTTACAATAACCTTTTGATTCTTTACAATAATCGTCTGATTTTTGAATGATTTTTCATCTTTCTTTAAACTAGGTTTTCCGGAAATTTCTTTTTCCAAAACATTTGATGATTTGGGTGTTTAATCTTCTGTTTCCTATATGTTTTAACAGATTTCTTTAGGTTTTCTCTAACCTCAACTCATTTACACCAAAAACCCTAATTGTTTTGACTCTTTTGTTTGGTTTCTGAGTTACTTGTGTACTGCCTTTGTTCTTGCCTTGGTTCTTATGATTTCTCTTTAGCC